GGGGGGGGGGGGGGCAGAGCAGGAGAACCAGCGGGCGGGTGGAAAGGCAGGAAGCAGGAGGGCCAGCGAGGCAGGGAGACTGCCCTCAACCCTGCAGGGCAGGCCCCCACGGCGGCTGGCCGAAGCCCCCGTCGCTGCCAAGCCCAGCCTGAGACGCCTTCTGTGGTGGACGCTGCTGGCTGCTGGCCCGGTGTCCACCTGCTGGTCTTCCCGACAGAGCCTCAGTGTGTTGTCCACCTTCCTCCCTCCGCCCAGGCCCACGGTGGACCCGCTCGCCTCGGGGTGCCTGTCCACATGTCCCTTGCGGGTTCTGGGCTCTGGAGGGGGCAGGAGATGCAGGGAGAGCTGTGCCGGGTGCTTCTGGGCAGCTCTTCCCCTCCTTTCTGGAAGTTTCTGGAAGCGGTTCCCTTCTTAACCTGCTGGCGGTGAACGGAGCAGCGTGCAATGACCTGCTCCCGGCAGCCGTGCTGTGCACATGAGGACAACCAGCCCAGGATGAGGCCGCTGCGGTCGGCTGGGGGCCTGGGTCTCCGGCGGCATTGCTGGGTCTCAGACCAGCAGCCCTGAGGCCGGCCATCCCTCTGGACTCCCAGCGCCGACATCGTTCCTTATCGTTAGAGCGCGTCTGCCAGTGTGCATGTGCGCTGTTGACATCCAGGTGACAGCATCTCTCAGATACACTGTCCTGGACTGTCGGGTGCGCAGAAATGTCTCCCTCCTCTGGATCGACTGTGTCCCACTCACAGGGCTCTGGACACACTGCCTGGCTCTCTCCCGCCAGCCCACCGGTCCCTGGAGGAGAGCCGCATCCGTCCCCTCACCAGCCGACTCAAAATCACCGACTCAGCGCACACCATGTGCCGCCGCCTTTTTAAAACGAGGGAGGAAATGTCTGAAAAGTCAGTGAGGGGAAATCTTTTAAACCTGCCAAGCACGCAGGCCCGGCAGCCAGAGAGGTGAGATGCCAGCCAGGCTTACGGCCCTTCGGTCAACCAACGCTTCTCCATCCGGGCAATGGGTGCGACCTCCACCTGAGCCCAGGGTCCCGCACCACACTCCACGTTCACGGTCAAGGTGGTTATTGGGGTCTCTGCTTTTTGTGTTTCCCTGGCCCTTCTTGTCATTTTGAGCAGGTGAGTCTGTGGGTTGGGCTGTGTGGGTTTCTCAGGGGTCCATTTGTTAGCACGGCCGCCCCTGCATGGGACGTCCATGAAACTCTGCTTCCATCCGGTGAGCGGGTGGTCAGGTGTGGCCAGGTATGACCAGGTGCAGCCAGGTGTGGCCAGGTGAGGTCAGGTATGACCAGGTGCAGCCAGGTATGACCAGGTGCAGCCAGGTGTGTCCAGGTGCAGCCAGGTGTGGCCAGGTGCAGCCAGGCACAGCTGTCACAGGGGCTCGAGGTCTTTTTCTCTTGGGCAACAACAGAACAGAACTCAGTAGTAACTGTGAGAGTCTGTGCCCTGGTGCTAAGCCGCCCTCTACCCTGTGCCTCTCCGCTGGGCTGGCTGACTCGGAGGCAGGCGCGTGGGGGGCGATGCCAGAACAGTGCTGCTCCCAGGGCCAGCAGGCTCTCAGACGGGCCACCCGGACGTGCCCGGGTCCTGTTCTCAGTCCCGGCGACCGTGCCGCGGGTCCACCCTCACTCGCCTCTCTCTCTCCTCCTTGCGAAGGGAGGCGGAGACGTGTGCGGTGCCAGTTGAGGCCTGGCAGCCCCCGCCCCCGGCCTCATGGATGAAACCCACAGGCGACCCAGCCGCCCGAGAACCACGTGAGTGTGCGGGAGGCCACTGCTGGGGACACACTCGCTGGGGACTCTTTTGCCTGAAAAACGTGTGCACGGACCAGAAAGACATCGGAGAGGGTCTCTGCGGGGCCGGAGAAAACGCTGCCCCCCCCCCCCACCTGCCCCCGCTGCCCGCAGGGTGCCCAGCGCGGGCTCTCACCGCAGGGCCTCCAGCTGGTCTCTGTCCTCCAGGAGGCCCAGCCGCCGCCTCACTTCGTGGAGCAGCTTCGTGCCTTGGAAGCCGCTGCCCCGGCCGTCGCACTTCAGCACCACGGCGCCGTGGCTGCTCACCAGCACCGTCTCCCAGGTCACCGCGAACTTCTCCGCCACGCTCTGGCTGCCCGGGGCGCCATCCCTGGGAGAGAGACGCGGGCGCTGGGACCCCACCGGGAGGGGCCGCCAGCCCGGGCTGCCTCCCGCCCACTCCGCGCCCACTCCGCGCCCACTCCCCGCTGGGGTTCGGTCGCCCAGGGAAGGGGAGCAGCAGCGTCTCCGCCCCTGGGGGTGATGACGAATGTGAGTGCTCAGAGGGCCACTCGAAGCACAGGCTGGAGTCACCGAAGGGCCTGCGCTTGGGAGAGAAACTTTACAGAAACCCTCCCCCTGTCCCTGTGGTCGCCTTCCCCATGGTGAACGGCTCTTCCCTTCCGCCTGGTCTTGGGTCTCAGGGTGCGCCCCTGCCCTCCAGTTCCCGGCACCTGAGCGGCAAGGACGGGCTTGCTGCTCTAGCAGAAACTGGTCTGAAGAAATTCTCTTTCTGGTGAACTCAGAAGCAACCATACGTGCCCACCTGGGTGGCCCGTCTCGTCTGTGTCTCCTGGAAAGCCAGGCAGCCGGCTCCGTGAGCCAGGGTGCCACCCGAGCCCTCCCCGTGTCTTCCCGGCCCCCATGTGGGGACACCTCCTGCTGGCTGACAGCGCGGAGGCCCAGCATTTACACCACGGAAATGGGCAGGAGCTGCAAACAGGGCCTTTTAAATGCAGACCTGGGAGCTTGGCAACTCCTCGCACACTGGTGGGCGTGGGGTGGCGTCTAAACTGCTTTCCTTTGATGGGGACAGGAGCAAAGGCCAGCGCCTGGTCCAGCCTCCCGCCCAGCACAGCAACAGAGGGGGGGGCCCACCTGGAGAGCCGGGCGCTGCTGGTTCTCCCTCCACGGGGGTGACAGCCGCTGCAGTGATCACAGCTGGGCTTTCTACTAAGGATGGGGGGGCCGGTGAGGGGTGAGAGTGTGTGTGGGGGGGTATCTGCAGGCCCAGTTGCTCTGTGACAAACTGTCCTGAGGGGACACAGAGCCCTCTGTCCTTTGATGACCGGGGTCACTATAAGGTCCCTGGCAACCCGAGTCCAAAACTCCCGTCTTGGTACCAGCAGTCCCAGAGGCAGGAATGTGGCGACCTCCAAACCACAAAGTGACCGCAAGCCCCTGCCAGACCACAAGCGACGAGCGAGAACACCTGTACCTGCCTCCAGGAACCACGGAAAGGACACGGAAAGAACCGACCAGACTGATTCCTTGCCCAGCTGCCCACTCCCACGCCCCCTCCCGTCCCTCTAAGTCCTGTAAAAAACAGCCTCTGCCTCCTCGGGGTGGCGACTGCCCGATGAGCCTGCACCCGGGTGGTTTTCAATAAATCTGCTTTCACCTCTCAACAAGCCGGGTACGTCTCTCCCCCGGCAAACCCCCCAACAGTCCCTGAGCATTACGGAAAGAGCCTGACGCTGGCCGACGGCGAACCCAAGTTTTCACTCTGCAACGTCCTCTCTCCAACGTTCGTCTATCGCGGTGTCGCCGCGTCCCCAGCTAGCACCCGGGAGGGAAGAGGCCGGAGTACTCACACCACCAGGAGCAGCGGGTAGTGCGTGGTCTCGCTGAAGGTCGCTGGCTTGAGGATCTGGACCGGCAGGCCTGGCGGGCGGAACACAGGCCGTGGGTTAAGGGCCCCACGGCTGGGGAGGAGGGCAGGGCCCCGATTTTCATCTCGCGACGTGGGCCCCCTGTGTGGCCTCGGGCAAGCCACCCCAACATCGTTGAGGCTCAGTTTCTCCATTGGAAGCTGAATTCAATCTTGCAAGCAGGAGTTGGGAAACAGGAAAGCCTGGATGTGGCAGAGCTTGCTAACAGAGGGGTCCAGGCAGGGAGAAATGAACCCCCCAACCCCCCCCCCCCAGGG